GGAGGGGCGGTGTGGGGGGGCCACTGGAAGGGGGTTGCAAGCCAACAGGGACACCCTGGTGGGAGCTGGCTAACCCGTGCTAGGCAACAGATAATGCTGCTCGCCACTCATTCCCAGCTGTTCAGCCGACGTGCCTGGCCGTCATGCTGTGCACGAGCTCGCATGTCTGACCCCACTTCAGCTGTCTGTCTTCACAGCTGTGACAGCTTTGCAGCTGCAGCCACTTACATGAATGAATGCAGCCAGCGAGGGACCTTCGGGGCGTCCATAACCCACCTGCATGCAGGTTGCCGCTGTTCTGTTCACTGTTCTGTTCAAGATCTGCACACACCTCACGCTTGCTGACCCCCAATTACTAATTTCCCGCTGCAAAAACTCCCCGGACACCCCGCGCAGTGCTCAAGAGGCAGCCCCCACAGCTCAAGCAACCCCCAGCGCTAAAGCAAAGAAGCAGACACTGGCAGCGGTGAGTGTGCCCCGCGCATCCTGCAATACCTTCATTTGGTGTGCTTCCGCGCCTGCACAAAACAAATGGCAGGAACAAATGGCAGGAGCAAGCCTGGCTCGGGCATGCAGGCATGCAAGCCCAACAAGGACGCATGCTCGCCAACCTGTCCACCCGGGTGTGTTTGACCCGCACATACAAAGGCGTGCAAGCATTGCCGTCACACGTACTGACGATGCGTCTGCGTCCCATTATCCCAGCGCAGTGCGCGCCCGTCAAAGCCTTGACGAAGTCGTGCTCCTCCAAGTTCAACACAGCCCTGATGGACCAGCTGTGCAGCGAAATGCTAGCCCCGGCCAACGTGACCACTGACAGCAAGGTGGGCGCATGTGCGCAAGCTGGACATGTGTGCATGAAAGTGACAACGCGTTTGCATGGCCAGGTGTTTGGCGATTGCTAATGGGGCAGATGCAATGATGTATGAGACGGTGGTGTGCTTGTGGATGCTTTCCAGGAGCAACCCTCCCATTGATCTGTACCTACTGCAGCGCCTCTACCGCCAATGATCAGTTCGTCATAGCATGATTACCGCATTGACAGCCTTGCCTGTGTGCTGCTTTCGTTTCCCCACCCCCCTAGGACGCCACCAAACTTCACTATGGCTGTGGCGCAGCCACCGCTGCCCAGGTCAACAAAGTTTCCAGTGACCTGGCAACCCTCGAGCCCAGGTTGACCGCCGCCATTGCCCAGACCAGCTCTCTACAGGCCACCTTTGGTCAGGAACGTAACCAGACGGCAGCGCTGCGCGCCGAGCTGGACGCGCTGCGCTCGGCGGCTGCAGCGCTCGCAACAGCTGGCACACGCACCGCGCAGCAACTGGCCTTGCTGGAAGCTGCGAACAACACCGCTGCCCAGCAAATCACCGCCCTTGCAGCAGCCAACTTGCGCACCACACAGCGGCTGGCCTCGCTGCAGCTGGCAAACCAAACAGCCCTCCTGGAAATAGCAGCGCTCAAGTCTGCGTCGCAGCAGTGCACCTGTGGTCTGGAGCTTGCAGCTGTCAACACCACCCTGGCAACAGTCACGTCACTCCAGCAAGCGGACGCAGCGGCAATCACCCTGGCAAACGCAACAGTAGAGACCCTCAGATCCGCAGTCGCCGCAGATGCAGGCAGCCGTGTGGTTGTCAACACCACCCTGGCCACCCTGGCAGAGGCCGTTGCCACCCTGTCAGCCAACCTGTCGGCCGTCAACTTGACTAATTTCGTCACGACCGCGGGCCTCCAAAACTTCGATGCGGCGACTCTCGGAGGAAGGCCTGCGGCGCAGTACCTGCGCGCGCGCGTAGTGCTATTTCCTGAGAGCACTACGAGGCGGCCGGGTGGCTTCGGTGGCCGGGGTTATGGCGACTTCCTGTGCAGCATCTCCGCCGCCCGACCTGCCGGGCTCGCAAGGGTACGCGTGTTCGTATCAACGTCTGGATCTGACCAAGTCAAGGACTTTTCCAAACTGTATGGGGTTCCCACGTCGCTCCCTATCACGGGTCCGACTGGGACCGTCATAGCTGCCAATTTCTCAAGGCTCTTCACTGCAAATCTCCAAAGCACCTTGAACGATGCAGGGGCGGTGCCGGTAGGCAATGCTTGGTGGTCTGGTAGTAACGCAGATGGTTCTGTGTCTGTCTCCACCTGTTCTGGCTACACTAGCAGCAGCCGTAGGGAAGCTGGAGAAATTGGGTATGGCAACCGCCTCGAATCTTCTTGGTTGTCCGGCGCAGGTGGAGTTGGTTGCGCCCTCAACAATCTATATGTTATGTGCATTGCTTTCTGAGTGCACCACGGCCGATGTATACAGGTGGCGAAAAATGTGTTTCATTTCTTGGTCTTGCAACTGCCCCTCGCAACGGCCACCCAGAAATACATACATACATCGCACGCTTGATGTCTGCAGTCTGTTATGCGCTGCCGCTGCTGTTGGGATGCAGCGCGATGCTGCAGTGGCTTTTGAGGCGGCGTCGTGAACTGCAGCCAAACACACTCCTGCACGGCTCGCTCAAAACAGTTGCTGGGTGCCCCAGCACTGAACGTGCTTTGACTGCCCTGCTACCTGCAGGGGCAGTGACGCACACCCAAGATGAGTCACACGCACACGCCTCTCGTGCGCTGTGTGCACACACTCGAAGTCTTCAGCACTTGAGACTTTTTAGTTTTTTGTGCCACGACTGCGTGGACACAGATGATTATAATCATGCACATGTCATGCCGCACAGCGGCACAGCGCTATGTGTGACCCATATGCACGAGCTGCAGGCTGTTGCCTGAGACCGGGCTTTCGATTGCCTTATTACGCGTGAGCGGCTGCGTGCGTCGGTGACCCCAGCACGCGGGACGATGTGCCCAGCCCCCCTGTTAGTCAGCAGGCTCCCAAGGCCTGTCAGCGTGGCTGTCACCCACACAGGTCGCGGCCAGGCCACAGCAGACGGCCGCACTTTACAGTGCTGAGGTAGCAGGCCACGGCTGTCTTACCTGTTGGCGCAGCCGAGACCGGCCTGCTGCCCTGTTACCACTCCAGGCTGGTGTGCCATCACACTGCCCACGTAGTATTGCCTCGGGCCTTCGCCCAACTTGTTTATGCCGCCCTCGCCTTGCTCTCGTGTCCCCGACATTGGCTCGAGAATGGAATTGCTTTTGGATCCGGCTTGGAGAGTTGGCTTCACTTCTGGTGATCCTAGGCTGTGACTAATGTCTGTAATACTTGTGTCGCCGCGCAGACTCAAACCGTCACACGCAAGGTCAATGGCCTTTCGGGCAGCCCGCTGCAGCTGATCCCATGTCAGCCCCAAGCTGTACTACAGGCCCCCAGGCGTTCATGCACACCATCCACTGCTTGTCCATTCTTTCCTTGATTATTTGCGGTCTGATTTAAAGAGGTGCAAGGAACGTCCAAGGAGTATCTAAGGGTTTGTGACATTCCCTAGGCAGGGGCACAGGCTTAGGAAAGACAAGGAGCTCCAGGGGCCCGTTTGAGTAACAATTAGGGAGTCTTGCCACGCTTCCCGGCCAAGTGCACCGCCATTGATGCCCGCTGCTTGGGCCTGCTGGGGTACCTTCAATCTCCAGGTGCGTTTGGTTACAAATGAGGCATGCTTCAACGGTGGCCCAGAGATGTGCTGTGTGCAGGGTGCCGCGGTAACGTGCCCTGCACGCACTTAGCGGCATGGCCCCCACCCACTGCTGCAAGCTTTAGGGCGCCCCAGGCTGCTCGAATCGATTTTCTTATTTGGCGACCAGCTGTCAGCCTGCGGCCGCGAAGCTGCTGCAGCGTGCAGCGTGCCCGGCGCCGCCGGCGTCCTCATCGGCCACAAGGCGCGGGAGCACGTGGAGCCCGACGTGGTGCTGTCGCGCGCGCCGCGGCTGGGGGGCGACGTGTTTTGGATCGTGCAGGCGCAGCTTGCCGCGGCGCTGCTGCGCTGCGGTGGGGGAGGGGGAGGAGGGTGCGGTGTGGTCGCCCCTGAGCGGTCACGTAGTAGTCTCCTGCTCACCAGAACCTCGCAGTTGAACTATGTGGCCACTGACATCAAGATTCCCAATGTTTGCAGCGCTTGATTTTTTACCCGCCCTGCCGCCTAAACCCCTGGTAATCGCAAGCGAAACCCCTGTGGCCGTTCGCCTGCTTTGTCGCGGCGGCCTGCCTGTGAAGCCTGCCGGCGTGCTGTACTGTACCTGCACAGCCAGCAGCGGAGAGGCATACCATCTAGCTGTTCACATGGGCGGCATCGGCAACCCGTCTGCAGGTCTGGGCAGTCGGCATGCAGGAGATTTTATCTGCGATGCCGAGGCGTCAGCGCACCCGCATCTGCGGCCTGCTGGCTGGGCGCGTTGTACAGGCCGCCCCTGCGCGTGTCAGCAACTGCAATGTCACAATGCGCATCGCACATTGGTGTGAACATCCCATGGGCGTGATGTGTACGCCGAGCTGGGTTGCCCGCCTGCCAATGCACCGCCGTCACCAGAGCGACGCTGTGGGTGAGGCGACGACAACACCAGCGCGGCAAGCGATGCACGCCTCGGGCGCACTGCATATATACGGTGCAAATACTGTGGAGCTACACGGCCTTGAATCTCTCCGAATTTGCGATCCGAGGCAGATCACCGCGTGTCTGGTGGTGCCGATCAGCGCTATTGGTTGCATGTTCAGCTTCACGAAGCGCTTAGGCTACGATTGCCACCCCGCTCACCGTCAGTGGGTGCGGCGTGCGCTCGGCAAGGCAAACGCAAGCTCCCCGCTCGCTGCCGCCGCAAGGGCCTCAGCACACACAGCAGCACCGGGCCCCAGCCCAGCCCGCTCCCCCCTGGTCGTCTCAGTGCGGGGCCAGCATCAGCCTTTATCTCTCAATCTCCGAGCCGTCTCGGCCTCGGTGGTCCACCGTCGGCACCGCGGCGCGGGGCAAGGCGGCGGAGCACTGCGGAGCGTCGCCACGCCAGCGCCTCGGGGCAGCATGCCGGCGGCCGGCGGGCCGGTGGGAGCCGTGTCGGAGGGGCTGTTTGCGGGCGCCATGCCTAAAGAAGAGATAGGCGCCCTCAGGTAGGCGGCAGAGCGGCAGGTATCAATTATGGAAAGCCCCTGGGGCCCCCGCCGGGCGGCTTTTGTCAGCACCCTCCCTCCCATCAGCCGCCATCGCTTTTGCTTTCGCACTTGAGGGCTGCCGTGGCGCGCCTTGTGCCAACCACACCCTGCCGCCCCGGCTCCGAGCGGCGGCGCGAGAGCGGCGCCCGCGCCAGCCTGCGCTTGCTGAGGATTGAAAGCGGCGTCCTTCGGCCGCCCCCGCCGACTTGCTTGGCCCGTCCTCGCCCCTGCATCGTGCGGCTTCCCGGCAGGTTCCTCCAGGACAATCCCTCTTACGACGGCCGCGGTGTCATCATAGCCATCTTTGACACGGGTGATTACAGCCCGGAATGAACAACAGAGCGATAATTCCCCCTTGGGCAGCTGCGTTTGGTAGCAGTCCGTCAGCTTTGGTCTGCTGTCGGCTGTGGTACCCAAACGAAGCAAGCCGGCGCAGGAGCAGGCCGCGCCTGTGCAGGGGCGAACAAAGTCGGTCCTCGCGGCGCCGCCGCCCACGCAGCCGACCCGCACGTCGCCGCGCCCCCATTCCCCTGCCGCGGCTGGCACTGCGGGCCGCCGGGCAAAGCGGTGCGGCGCCGCCATCCGCCTCGTCAATGTTGTGTGTTTGAGTTGGTTGTGCGTGTGTGTGCCCCTGCCTCAGGTGTGGACCCGGGGGCGCCGGGCCTGCAGGTCACCAGCGAGGGCAAGCCAAAGGTGGGCGCGCAGGGCAGCAGCGCAGCGCCGCCGCGTGCGTCGAAGGGGCGCATCGCGCACGGCGTAGCATGCGGCGGCGCAGCCAACGGCACGGCATGCACACGCGCGGGCTCGTGCGCTTACACACTAGCGCCCCGCTTCCCCTGAACATACACACACAACGGGCACACACATGCACTGACGTTAACACACGAGCACACATGCATACGTGCGCCCCCCCCACACACACACACTTCCGCGCTCACACACATACACATTCACCCTCAGATCATCGACGTCATTGACTGCACCGGCAGCGGCGACGTCGACACGTCCAATGAGGTCGACGCTGACGAGGACGGCTTCATCATTGGTAGGCAGCAGCCCCCCATGGTGTGGGCGGCTCCATGTGCTTGCGCCGTCGCGAATCAGGGCATTGGGGCCCTCTGCTGTCCCGGAGCCGCCCAGGCTGGCGCTTCTATTGGCCAAAGGGTGCAGCAGTGCCGCCGCCTGCCGCCTGTGCTTGCGACGGCTTCATTTGCTTTGGCATCCCGGCTGTTCTTCCCCCCCCTTTCCCCGTCACAGCGTGGCACTTCCACACACAGCAACAGCACAGCTGACCCCCCGCATCGAGCCGGCGGTTGCCTCTCATGAGAAGCCGCTCCCCTGCAGCCCCCGCCCGCGGCGGCCTGCCCGTCCCTGGCCGATGGCCCCCCCATTCCCCCAGCCCGCCTGTTCGCCTGCTGCTGCCTGTGCATGCGCGTACACCCGTCCTTTACAGGCGCGTCGGGCCGCAAGCTGCGCGTGAACCCTTCATGGGCCAACCCCAGCGGCAAGTGGCGCGTCGGCAGCAAGCGGCTGTTTGAGCTGATTCCACGGCCTCTGCAGGTGGTCGTGTGTGTATGTATGCGCGTGTGTGTGTGCGTGTGTGTATGTGCGTGTGTGTGTGTGAGTGTATGTGTGTGTGTGTGTGTGTGTGTGTGTGTGTGTGTGTGTGTGTGTGTGTGTGTG